CAGCAGCAAAGCCCACTACTTGTGGTATTTCTGCTATAGCAGAACTAGTTAACTAAGACTGTTGCTAAAGTAGAGGGGCCATAAAAATAGGGGAAACCCTCAAAAATATGGACAAACACAACAGTCAAAATAACAGACTCAGACTTGCCAATGATCATGAAGATGACACAAGACAGGTGATGTTATGCATAAGATCACCTGGAGTTACATAGCAACTAGTAACAATTAAGATACAATGGCATTGTTATACGGATAGAATGATAAACTAATGAAACAGAATGAGGGTCCCAAACATAAGGAAACATATGGATATCTGATTTATGACAAAGATAGTATGGCAGGACTTGGGTAAAGTAAGTCTTTTCAATTACTGGTATTGAGACAAGTGAATATTCATATAAAATATGAAACTACTTCATGGTATATACAAAAATCAATTCCAGGTAAATCGATTATATAGTAAATTAATTCCAGGTAGACAGTAAATCTAAATAATGAAAGACAAAATGATAAAAGGCTCCAAAAGGCATCCTAGAAGATCTTCATAAAGTTCATGAAGCAGATTTCTTAAGAACAAAAAATGTTCAATATAAGTGAAAATGTATTAAAATTATCATTAAAATACACTATTAAGTAGCTAAAAAGACAAGTTACAGAGTGAAAAAAAAAATTGCAACTTAAGACTTAACAATATAAAGAACTCTGACCAAAAAGAGAAAAACAACAGAAACTGAGCTAGAGCCTTTGAAAAAAAACTTAAAAATTAACATATGAAAGGTACCAGCAAAATGCAAACTTAAACCACAATGAGATAACAATAGAAAGAGACCAAACCCACTCACAGCCACCCTCTACAGTTTCCAAAGCTGTAAATCGTTAAGGAAACAAACTGCCTCATCTTTCTCCTGTGGAGCAGCTGGTGGGTTTGAAATTTGAAAGCTGTGAAGTATCAGCAAGTCTATTCCAACTCAGAGCAGCAGCGCTGTACAGGGTTTCTGAGGAGCGATGGTGGGTTTCAACCACTGACCTCACCATTAGCAGCCTGGTCCTTATCACACCACATCTCAACCAGCTTGATGTACAGTGTAGAGCAATCCTGTATAGGGTCTCTGAAGCTATAAATCTTTATTTCCCATGGAGCAGCTAGAGAATTCGAATAGCTGATCTTGCTGTTAGCAGCTCAACACATAACCTACTATGCCACCAGAGCTCCATGCTACAGTATTTTGAATAACTTTCAATCAGTTAAGAAAAAAAAATGGAGACTCACACATATAGGGAGCACAAGAGCTCCATAGGATAAACATGATGTCTGTGGTTCAGCCCACTAGCCATTCTTATTGGGAGAAAGATGAGGCTTTCTGTTCCCACAAAGATTTAAAGCCTTGGAAACTCTACCCATGGCCACCATTAGTCAGAATTGACTCAATGGCACTTAACAATACAACAAAAACACATATAAATACATTATTTAGAAAAATGAAGATAAAGCAAGTAGGTTAAGATGTTAACATGTTAGTGCGTGGAGTCGGTTCCGACTCATAGTGATCCTGTACAGGGTTTCCGAGGCTATAAATCTTTATGGGAACAGAAAGCCTCATCATTCTCCAGGAACAGCCGGTAGTTTCGAACTGCTGACCATGAGATTAGCAGCCCAATTCATAACCACTACACCACCAGAGCTTCTAAAATCTTAAAACTACCCACAAAAGCTATTTTTGCAACTCACAAGTTCAATGGCTTTTTTCTCAGCCAAAATAATGGCTCTTTATCTCAAGTAAGGAGAGTCCCTGGGTGGCACAACCAGTGAACCACATGGCTACTGTTCATAAGACTGGTAGTTCTAATGCACCCACAGTCGCCTTGGAAGACAGGTCTGGCAATCTACTTCCCTGGAAAAGGTCATGGTGCAGTTCTACTCTGCAGTGTTTTTTATTTTGTTGTATATGGGTCACTGTGACTCAAGCAGGCCTGAAAGTATTTAGCAACAGCATTCCAGGCATAAAGAAGCCTGGGTGGTGCAAGCAGTTTAAGAAACTGATAAGCAAAAGCTTGGTTATTTGAGCCCATCCAGCACTGCATGATAATGAGCTAGACCTAGACCACAAGATCGGTTTAAATCACAAGGCCAGCAGTTCAAATTCACCAGCCACTCCTCAGAAACCCTAGAAGTCAGAACTGATTAAAGAGCATTAACAACAGCACTTCTGTCGAAGACCTCAGAAATTACTTCTGTATAGATCATAGCCAAGAAAATCCAACAGAGCAGTTCTACTCTGTAACACGCGTGACTGCCATGAATGGGGGCTGACGCCATTGCATAGAACCACAACAACACCCTAAGCACATGTGTTGCTAAATGCCACTGAGTCAGTTCTGACTCAAAGCAACCATGTATAGGGTTTCCAAGGAGAGGCTGGTGGTTTTCAACTGCCAATCTTGCAGTTAGCAACCCAGTGCTTAGCCTACAGCACCACACCATGACTCTTCCTAAGTGTATTGTTGTATTGTTAAGTGCTCATCATGGAGTTGCTTTGAAATCACAGCAACCCTCTATAAGGTTTCCAAAGAGCGGCTGGTGAGTTTGAACTGCTGACCTCACAGTTCAAACCAACCTTGCGATCCAATGCTTATCCTACAGCACCACACCATAAAATGGAAAGTCCTTCAGGTTTCCTATTTCAACATATCAGAAATAAAGGAATCTGCTTCATCCAAAGTGAATCACAAGTACGAGAATACTCTGATTTCTCTCCACTTGAGTCTACTCTGTCTTTGATCCCTTCATTAGGGCAGTCAATGTCGCTAACATAAAAAATTTAAGGAGGCATTTACTCTTAGCCTGGGAATGAGTGCCTCCTTAAATTTTATGCCTGGTGCCTCCAGCCTCATCCCAGGTCTTTCTCTCACTCTTCTGCCAAGTTTGTCATACTAGTCCCAGCTTGCATGTTGCTGTGATCCTGGAAAGTATGCCACCAACTCAAATACTAGCAGGAACAATCATGGTGGACAGATTTCAGCAAAGTTTCCAGACTAGGAAGAAGGACCTCATTATCTACTTCTAAAAACTTTGTCAGTGAAAGTCATATAAATAGCAGTGGAACACTGATACTGTGCCGAAGATGAGCCCCTAAGGTTGGTTGTTGTTAAGTGCAATCAAGTTGGTACCGACTCATAGGGTATAGGGTTTTTTAGGAAGAGCTGGTGGGTTTGAACAGCTGACCTTGTGATTTGCAGTCCAGTGATGATGCACAGCACCACACCAGAAGTCCTAAGGTTTGGAGGGCACTCAAAATACAACTGGAGTATAGGGTAGAGATATGGACGGACAACTTAGCCACTGGCTACTAAAATGAGGGGGCGAGAAAGGCACGAAATGACTGGTTTACAAGATTTCAAGAGGGAGTTTAGTTTAAGAGTGTGTGGGTAGTTGGGTTGATGAAAGGAAACGCAGATAGGTCTCTTCGTTTTGTAGCAAGGAAGGGAGTGACTAACTTTACAGTCTAAGAGCAGAGGTCCCTAGGACCATCAAGGAAGAAGAGTGGAGAGCGGGACCTTACCCAGAGAAGCAGTGATGCCAAAGATGGAAGCAGAAACAATGACGTGGAGAAATGAAACAGCTGGTGACTTTAGACCCAGAGAGGGAGAGGGACTGTGTGCTGATGACCAGGGGCCAGGCTTGTAGGGTATATTCCTTTGGTTGGTTGATCGTGCATGGAGGGGATTATAACCATGGCAATGAAACGATATATGATAGGATGAATGTAAAACTAACGTTCTCCCATGTAAACTATCACATAATTCACAATAAAACATTAAAAAAAAAAAAGGCTATGTGGGGAAAGATAGAGTCCCCATTGAATAGTTTTCATCTTGTCTAGATGGGTCTGGTAAAAAGAGATGGGAATAAGATTCTTATGATACAATAGTGAGTAATTTTTATTATGACAAATTGCGACTGTCACAATTGTAGATGTTTTGTAGCAAAAACGGAGGAGTAGTTAATCTTATAGTCCAGAAACAGAGGACCCTAGAACCATCAAGGGAGAAGAGCACAAGCGGAAAGCAGGACCTTATATAGAGAAGCAGTGACTCCAGAGATGGAGGCAGAGATGGGGACATGGAGAGAGGGAGCAACTGAGGACTCCAGATTCATGGAAAGAGAGGGACTGAGAGCTGGTGGCCAAGGAGGCAGGCTTGCAGAATGTGCCCTTCGGTGGTATAAATTATTATATATGCCTGAGTGTTTAAAAAAAAAGCTAAAATGAATAGAGACAAACACTGTTAACTGATGGTACATGGAAGGGGATTATAATCATTGTAACGAAACAAAGTATATGATTTGTTGAATGTAAAACTGATGATCTGCCCTGTAAACTTTCACTCAATTCATAATAACTTAAAACTTAGAAAAAAAAAAAAAAAAAACTAGAGAAGAGCTGCCTACACAGTAGCTGCAACAATTGTGAGGATAGTGCAGGAGAGAGACTGTTTGTCCTGCTATACATAGGATTATTAGAGTCAGACTGAATTAATGGTATCTAAAAGCAACAACCTTCCTTGAATTATCTTCTCACTCATCTTAATTTTGTCCCTTTCAATATTCATCCTTCTTCTTCCTAATCCAAAAACACAAATAAATAAATGCATTGTGTTCATAGTTATAAGAACTGTTGTCAAATATTTCCAAATTTACAAACTTTTCTTTAAACATGTGTTCCTTTTCCTTGTGATTAACAGCACCACGTAACCATGTAACCAAGTCACAATGCAGCCTTTCATACTATAGTCTCCTTTTACATCACCTACAAGACTAGTCCTATTGGTCTAATTTCTTATGTCTCCATTCTTTTATTTTTATCTTCCAACACATACTCATTGTCTTCTTTGTCCTTCATGTTTCAAGTAATAAGTAGTTCACAAAATATGAAAATGAAAAGATACCTAATTATACATCTAAGAATTATCATATTTTATCAAAGACAAAATAAGTTTCCTACCTTTGCCCCCATATCCACAAGTTGGCTCGTAAATGTCTTTGAATAATTTTCTGTTCCATTGGATGACCACACTTCGACATAAGCTACTACATCTGAAAACAAACAAAATGTTAACATAAAATATATATTTGCATTTCCAGCATCCTTCACCCAAAGATTCTTTTTCTATTTATATTTTAAAGTAAATTTTCAATTACCTCCATTAAAGGTTTTTTTGTTACTGTTATTGTTAAGTTCTGTCGAGTCAGTTCCCACTCACAGCAACCCTGTATAGGGTTTACAAGGAGCAGCTGGTGAGTTTGAACCACCGACCTTATGGAAAAGCTTACTCAACTCTAAATATCCATCGATGCCATTTGGCTGCATAGTGGTTATGAATCAGGCTGCTAACCTCAGCAGTTCGAAACTACCAGCTATTCCACAGTAGAAAGCTGAGGCTTTCTCATGATATATTTCCTGTGGAACAGAAAGATTCACAGCCGCAGAAACCCTGTACAGGGTCACTATGAGTCTTAACTGACTGTACAGCACATAGCCACCACCAACACCATTATGGTTCTTAAATTTTTAAATTATTTTTAAATTATTTTTAAATTTTTAAGTCCATCAGAAGCACACTGACCATGCAGACTTCAGTGTGCTTCTGATGGACTTCTGTTATGGATTGATTTGCAATGTCAAAAAATATGTGTTGTAAATACCACTCCGAATATTGTAGCTGAAGGCACTGATGGCACTGTAGGATGAGCACTGGCAAAAGGTCGGCAATTTAAATCCACCATCCAATCCCTGGGAGAAAGAGGAGGCTAAATATTTACAGCTTTGGAAACTCCATATAGTGTCCCTAGGGGTAGGAACTGGCCACAGAACACTTAACAATACTTGTGGTTGTAATTCCATTTGGGAATCGGTTTTCTTTGTTATGTTAATGAGATAGTATTAGTATCAATCTCTTTTGACATATAAAGCAGCACTTTCAGAAAGTAGTGATAGGGCAAAAGAGACACCACATCACATGACGGATCTCCAAGGAACCAAGTCATTGCCCAGAACTTGAGACGAGACAAGGATTTTCCTCCAGAGCCAACAGAGAAAGTGTGTCTTCCTTAGAGCTGGTCCCCTGAATCTGGACTTAGTCTCCTACCCTGTGACAGGAGTCCTAGTGTGGCACTTGACTGCTATGTCCAGTTTGAATAGCAAAGCTCATTGGAAACCCTAGACAAGGTTGCTATGACTTGGAATCAACTTGACAGCACTAAACAAAAACAAACTGATAAAATTGACTTCTGTCTGTTAAAGCTACTCACATGTACTTATGTAGTAGTATTTTTATTACAGCAGCTCTAGATATGGCAAAATAGGATAAGTACTGGCCCGCAAGGTGGACAGTTCAAACTCACCAGTTTCTCCTTGGAAATCCTATACAAGATCTGTATTAGTGGGAACCAACTCAATGGCACTTAAGCACAACAACAGTTAAGACAATATCTTTTCTTTCTTTCTTTCTTCAAAATCTGATGGTTTAAAATTATTTTGCCAAGTGTGTCATTGTAAATAATTGGGAGTGAACTAAAAGGAAATACAAGTTGACTTAACAAAACACTAACATTAGAAAAATTACCAAAAGTCAGTTTTCCTAAGGATCTTTGTTGTTGTTGTTGTTATGTGCCGTGGAGTCAGTTCAGACTCATAGCGACCCTGTACAGGGTTTCCAAGGCTGTAAATCTTTACTGGAGTCCTGGTGTGGCGCTGTGGGTTAATGCGCCAGACTGCAAAGCCATTTGAACTACAAGGTTGGTGGTTCAAGTTCACCAGTCGCTCCTTGGAAACCTTCTACAGGGTCACTATGGGTCAGAACGGACTGAACAGCACTTAACAACAACAACAAATCTTTACGGATGCAGAAAGCCTCATCTTTCTCCCGGGGAACAGCTGGTAGTTTCGAACTGCTGACAGTGAGATTAGCAGCCCGATTCATAACCACTACGCTACCAGAGCTCCTTAGAAGACTTCAAAAAGCTTGTGGAAAAATGAAATAAAAGATACTGGATTTTTTTTTTTCAGTGTAAATTGCAACCATCTGCAAGGCCATACTAGAGCTGCACCTCTGGTTCCCACCAGATAGGATTGTTAAAATGAGTCTGCAGAAACAAATCCCCAGTAACTTTCTAAAACAGTTCATAGGAGGGCCAGTTGTGGTAAAATTACATTCAGGAATGGATTATCAAGGAGTCCTAGCTTGCCTAGATGGCTACATGAATAATACAGCCCTGGAGCAGACAGAAGAATATGTAAATGGGCAACTGAAGAATAAACTCCGGGGATGCATTTGTCTGAGGAAACAATGTGTTGTATTCATAAGTACACAGAAGAGGAGGATGTGAAGACTCCAGACAGCAACACTTTAATTAACTGGATATTTTTTTTTATGAAAATGTGTTTTCTACATTTTGGCTCCTTTGTTAATACAATTCGCCCTGTTTTCACAGTCCTTGGTAGTTTTTCACTGATACACGTGTAAACTTACTGAATTGTAAATAAAGAAAAAAAAAGATAATGGAATTTTTTTCAGGAACTTTTTGAAGTCCCCTCGTAAATTAATACTATCTAGGTTAATCTCATAAAACCACTTGAATTATGCAAAGTTAATTGGAGTCCTGGGGTGGCACTGCTATAGGATCAGCAAGTCAAACCCACCAGCTGTTCCTCAGAAACCCTATCTAGGGTCTCTATGACTCACAACCAACTGGACAGCACTTAACAACAGTATTTGTGTAATTTATATTAAACCTTTGCTCTTTTTTCTCTTTTGGCTATGAGGCTTAAACTTCAAACTTTAAAACACTGTTCACTACTGAGCACCTCTGTAGCCCTTCCATCAGCATCAGTAATGTAACCAGAGACTGGGGAAACAGTATAAGGTACCGATGAACAAAAGGCCCAGATGCTCAAATCCCGACTGGGTTTACTAGTTATGTGACACTGGGAAAGTGCCTGAACTCTCTTGCCTTAGTTCTCCTATGTGTAAAATCCAAGTTGAGCTAAAAGTAAAACAATCTAAATTAAGAGGTTAGCAGGATAAATGATAATCACTCAGTCAAAGGGTAGGTAAGTGCCTGAGTTACAAATGTCTGACTTGTTAGCAACTCCTACTTGTCATTTAATGTTATGCAAACTTCCCTGGGCTGAATAGAACTTCCCCAGAGGGTTTCCAAGGCTGTAAATCTTTCTCCAGTAGAGTGACTGATGGTTTAGAATGGTGGACCTTTTGAATGGCCCAGACCCCTTTAATCACTGCTCCATCAGGGTTCCTGAAGCCCTACTTTCAACAAATTCTTCACAGTCCTCTTCACTTGCTGCACTGGAGCCTTGTCTAGAATAAAGGAACTAAATAAGAACATATAAATATATACCTGTTCATCTTACCTACAAAATCAACTTTACAACACTTAGTTCCATAATTCAGGTACTGCCTACAGCCTTTGCTGTTATTACAACGGTAAACACATGCATAAGAAGAAGAGTCAATATTTATGTTTTGAACAAGAGCATCAGTCTCCAAGACTCTGAGACCAGAAAAACTAAATGGTGGCAGAAAACCACTACCAACTGCTCTGAAAAGGATAGAAGGGTAGACAATGTAGAACAAATCTCAAAATTAGTTTTTTTAAAAAATAAGCTTACTGGTCTGTAAAAGACTGAAGGAGCCCAAATATGTCTTTTAGATATCCTTTCAAGTCTGAAACAAAACTCACCCTGGGGATGCAATTTTCAACTGAGCAGTGGATTAAGTTCCCAGCAGGGACACCACTGCTAGTGAGGTATGCTCACCAGGGAATGGTCAAACACTCAAGATGAAAAGGGTGACATTTACCTAAGGACAAAATTCAAAAGGGATGGGAAGGAGAGTGGAAAGGAATTAAGAACCACAAGGAAGTGGGATAATTGTATTTAATGGAGGGGATTGCAATCACTGACCTGAAACAAAGTATATGGTTTGATGAATGTAAAATTGATGATCTGCTCTGTAAACCTTTGCTCAATTTACAATAAAAAGTTTCACAACACACACACACACTCAAAAAAAGCCCTTCTGTTTTGAATTACACTATTAACCTATTGTTGTTGTTACGTGCTGTGGAGTTGGGTTCCCAAGGCTGTAAATTTTTATGGAAGCAGAAAGCCTCATCTTTGTCTGGCAGAACAGCTGGTAATTTCGAACTGCTGACCGTGAGATTAGCAGCCTGATCCGTGACCACTAGGCCCCTAAATTTACCTAGTCATTCAAAGATAAAAGGATCCTGCCACCTTCTTCAACCAACCCCTCCTCTGTCACTTTGTGATAATGTGGTGGTGGGTGTTGCTATGATGCTGGAAGCTCTGTCACCAGTATTTAAATGCCAGAAGGGTCGCCCATGGAGGACAGGTTTCAGTGGAGTTTCCAGACTGACAGACAGACTAGGAAGGAGACGCAGACCACTTCTAAATGGCTGTTGTGGTTAAGTGCTGTGGAGTCAATTCTGACTGAAACTGACCCTACATACAGGGTATTTTCAAGTAACAGCTGGTGGGTTTGAACCGCTGACCTTGTGGTTTTCAGTCCAGTGCTGATCCTAAAGTGCTATACCAAGAGTCCTCTGAATGGTCAGTCACTGAAAACATGAAAAGCAGCTGAACAATATCTGATATAGTGCTGAAAGATGAACCTCTGCAGTTGGAAAGCACTCAAAATATTACTGGAGAAGAGTTGTCTCCTCAAAGTATAGTTAGTTGACCTCAATGACATGAATGGAGCAAAATATCCAAGACTTTCTTTTACTGATGAGGCACAACCCAAAATAGGGAAGAAATATCTGCAAACATCCATTAGTGATCTGAACATAGAAGGTACAAAGTATGAATCTAGGAAAACTGGAAGTCATCAAAAATTAAATGGAATGTATAAATAGTGATATTCTTAGCATCAGTGAGCTCAAATGGACTGGTACTGGCCTTAGTGAACAGGAAAATCATATGATTCACATTGCTGGGTTTGACAAACTGAAGAGGAATGGTATTCCATTCATCCTTAAAAAAGAACATTTCAAGATCTATGTAGAAATACAATGTTGTCTGTGATACGATATTATTCATTGTCCTACAAAGAAGACCACTTAACCACTATTATTCAAATTTACCCACCAATCACTAAGGCCAGTAATGATTAAATTGAAGACCTTTACCAACTTCCCAAAGGAGCTCTAGTAGCATAGTGGTTACAAGTCGGGCTGCTAAACTCAAGGTCAGCTAGTTCAAAACTACCAGCAGTTCCACGGGAGAAAGATGAGACTTTCTTTCTGCTCCCGTAAAGATTTATAGCCTCAGAAACCCTATACAGGGTCACTATGAGTTGGAACCAACTCCAGTAACATACCAACAACAACAACAACTTCTTCATGCTGATATGTATCATATATGCAATCAAGATGCATTAATAATTACTGGTGACTAGACAGTAATTGGAAAAATATTGCCCTGGTGACAGAAAGGATGCTGGAGATCACATGATACATTCTGCAAGGCAAATGACTTATTCATTGCAAACGCCCTTTTTCAACAACACAAAAGGCGACTATATACATGGACCTCTACAGATGGAATACACAGGAATCAAACTGACTACATCTGGTGGACTAAACAATGGAAAAGGTCAATATCATCAGTTCAAACAAAGGCCAACTGTGGAACAGACCATCAATTGCTCATCTGCAAGCTCAGGCTAAAGCTGAAGAAAATTAAAACAAGTCTACTGGTGTGGCACAGCCTTCGGTACGGATTACATCTCAATGTAAAGAAAACAAAAATCCTCACCACTGGACAAATAAAATTCTTATCAATGGAAAAAAAGATTGAAGTTGTCAAGGACTTCATTCTTCTTGGATCAACTATCAACACTAATGGAAGCAGCAGTCAAGAAATCTAACTACGAGAAATCTAAGGACCTATTGCATTAAGCAAATCTGCTGCAAAAGACTTTTTTGAAGTGCAAAGATGTCAGCTTGAGGACTAAGGTGCACCTCACTCAAGCCATGGTATTTTCAGTAACCTCATATGCATGTGAAAGCTGGACAGTGAATAAGGAAGACCATACAATAATTGATGCTTTTGAGTTATGGTGTTGGAGGAGAATATTCAAAGTGCCATGGGCTGTCAAAAGAACCAATAGATCTGTTTTGGAAGAAGTGCTGCCAGAGTGCTCCTTGGAGGCCAAGATGGCCAAACTTCATCTCTCATACTTCGGACATATTGTCAGGAGGGGCCAGTCACTGGAGGAGGACATCATGTTTGGTAAGGTGGAAGGTCAGAAAAAAAAGAGGAAGACTCCCAACGAGATGGATTGGCCAAGTGGCAACATCGATGGACTCAAGCGTGGCAACAGTAGTGAGGTTGGCCCAGGATCAGGCAGTGTTTTGTTCTGCTGTGCATAAGGTTGCTATGGGTCAGTGCCGACTCTATAGCACCTAACAATAACAACTACTAGTGTGGCACTGTGGGTTAATGTGCAAGACTGCAAAGCGTTTGAACCGCAAGGTCAACAGTTCACCAGTCACTCCTTGGAAACCCTACATAGGGTCACTATGGGTCAGAACTGACTCGATGGCACTTAAAAACAACAATAAGAGCTAAAATATGACATGAAAAATCCTACCTGAATTTAGAGACCATCTCAAGAACAATTTTGATGAATTAGACACTAATGACCAAAACTCAGAAGATTTGTGACATCAAGTACATCATACATATAGAAAGCAAAGGTCATTAAAAATAAATAAATAAATAACAAGAAAAACTAAAATGGATGTCAGAAGCGATACTTGCTCTTGATTGTAGAGAAGCTAAAGCAACTAGAAGAAATAAGGAAATAAAAGAGTTGAACAGAAAATTTCAAAGGGCAGTTGGAGAGACAAAGTAAAGTATTGTAATGAAATGTGCAAAGACCTAGAGTTAGAAAACCAACAGGGCAGAACACACTCAACATGAAACAATTTAAGAAAAAGTTCAAGCCTCATATTGAAATACTGAGGGAGTCAATGGGAAAAATACTGAATGATACAGAAATCATCAAAAGAAGATTGAAGGAATACACAAAGTCATTGTGCCACAAAGAATGGGGTGATGCTCAATCATTTAAAGAGGTACCATATGATCAATACCTGTTGGTATTAAAGGAATAAATTCAAGCTGCATTGAAGCCATTGATGAAAAACAAGGATCCAGGAATTGATGGAATACAAATTGAAATGTCTCAACAAATTGATAACAGTTCTGCAGGCCTTCACTCAGTAATGTCAAGAAATTTGGAGGACAGTTATCTGGCCAACCAACTGGAAGTGATCTATATTTGTGCCCGTTCCAAAAACAGGTGACCTAACAGAATGCAAAAAGCACCAAACATACCATGAATTACACATGCAAGTGAAATTTGCTGAAGTTAATTTAAACATTATTGCAGCAGTACATCAACAGGGAGCTACCAGAAATCCAAGTTGGTTTGAGAAGAGGACTTGGATCTAAGGATATAATTGCTGATATCAAATGGATCATGGCTAAAAGCAGATAATACCAGAAAGATGTTTACTCGTACTTTACTGAGTATTTAAAGGCATGCAAATGTGTAGACTGTAAGCAACCATGGATAACATTGAGAAGAATGGGTATTTCAGAACACTTAATTGTGTTCATGCGGATCCAGTATATAGATCAAGTGGCAGTCTTTAGAACAGAACAGTGGAATACTGAATAGTTCAAAATCAACAAAGGTGTTTGCCAGGGTTCTATCCTTTCACCATACATATTCTATCTGAATGCAGAGCAAATAATGTTAAGAAGCTGGATTATAGGAAGAAGAATGTGGCATCAGGATTGGAGGTAGATTCATTAACAACCTTCAATATGCAGATGACACAATCTTGCTTGCTGAATCAAAAAGGACTTGAAATACTGATGAAAATCAAAAACTACAGTCTTCACTATGGATGGTACCTCAATGTAAAGAAAACAAAAATCCTCACCAATGGACCAATAATAACATCAGAGAAAGGATTGAAGTTGTCAAAAACTTCATTTTGCTTGAATCCACAATTATCACTCATGGAAGCAGCAGTCAAGAAAATAGGAAAATCTGCTGCAAAAGACCATTTTAAAGTGTTAAAAAGCTAAGATGTCAGTGTGAGAACTAAGGTGGTGCATGACTCAAGCCACGTGTGGCACAATAACACGAACACTTGACTGCTAACAGCAAACCCACCCACCATCCACTCCTTGAAAACCCTATGTTGTTGTTGTTAAGTGCCGTGGAGTCGGTTCCCACCCATAGCGACCCTGAACAGGGTTTCCGAGGCTGTAAATCTTTAGGGGAACAGAAAGCCTCAATTTTCTCCCACGGAGCAGCTGGTAGTTTCCAACTGCTGACCTTGCGGTTCGCAGCCCGATTGGTAACCACTACGCTACCAGAGCTCCTTGAATTATGACATTGGAGAAGAATATTGAAAATACCATGGACTGTCTGCCAGTCGAACAAGCTAATTTGTCTTGGAAGAAGTACAGCCAGAATGAATAGTCCTTCGAAGCCAGGGTGGAAAGACTTGTCTCTCTCGTTCTTTGGGCATGTTGTCAGGAGGAACCAGTATCTGGAGAGTCAGCGAAAAAAGAGGGAGACCCCCAACAAGATGGAATGACAGTATAACAGTAATAATAGAGTCAAACGTAACTATGAGGTTGGTAAAGCACTGAGCAGTGTTTCACTCTTGGTACCTAACATCAAGGTACCTAACAACAACAACCTTCAACCATAATAAAGAATCCATCTTTTCTCCAAAGCTCTCCAACATCACTCATTTCCCAGAGGTATGTTAAGATCAAAACAAATGGGTAATTATTTCTAACTAGACACAAGAGACAGGCAACTTCCAAGCAAAAGACAAGCCTGCTCCTAGAAACCAGATGTAATGGGTTTCTGACTAGGCAGGGAACCTAACTTCCGGGAAGGAGCAGTCCCTACTGAGGGGAAGCAGAGGCCGGGTCCCACCTTAACTTAAGGTGAGCCCCCAGCGCCTGTCCGCTCGTGGTTTATCTCACACACCGCACGTGCTAACGGAAAAGAGCTCTGGTAACCCCTAGGCGGTGAACAGGAAACTGCTCCCCCCTAGTTCCATAACAAGAGTTCTAACCAGCAATCACTGGTGTTCTTTCTCAAAACCTCAATCCGTGGCCGGGACCCCATAAACTCAAAGCCCTGGGGCTAGTCCTAACGCTCAAGACAGAGCTTCCTGTGCGACCCCTCTACAATAAGCTCGTTCCGCACTATCCTTACCCCTCCTAGAGTGATTCGTGGGGTAGTGAAAGCGCGAAATCCTTCTTACCTTTTAGAATGGAGTCACTTGAAGTCCCCAGAGCCGCCATGTGGGGACCAGGGCGTTAGCCCACCCCGCTGGGTGATCTTGACCACACACAGCTCACAGATCCAAAAGGAGCAGCGGTGTCCACTGAGCATGCGCAGAACGGACGCTTGCGCCTCCTTCCAGGGCTCCGGAGTAATCCTTTTATCCACGGTTTCAAAGTTGCCCAAAGGCAAAAACAAGAATAAAAACAAGCTATATGAACGTCTACTTGGAAGTTTCCCAACACCAAACCCACTGCCATTGAGTTACAACTCATAGTGATCCTATATAGTGTTTCTGAGAATGAAAATCTTACAGCCTCCTCGTCCTCCCATAGAGCGGTGGCTGGGTTTGAACCTCTGAACTTGTGTTTAGCAGCCGAACAAACTTGAAAGCTTAGAAGAGTACTTATCCTGAAACCCAAATTCATACTAGCATCCCCTGCATAAGTATTTTCCTCTCCCTTCTTTGGCGCTAAAAGGACAGTTACCCCATTAAATCTCGAGGTTTTTGTTTCTTCATGAAGTTAGTTGGACGCTTTTTAGCTCCAAAGTTCAACCGAGGGATCAGGAAAATCAAAAGTAGAAAGATATTAGTAAATTTCCAGCTTTGGAAGAAACTTCAAAGAGTAATTTTGGTTAAATTTTCCAGCAACATAATGTCTGCCTTACCCGGGGTGTAACGCTTTAGTGTGGAATCTAATTAGTTCATTTTCGCCCATAAAACTCCCTGCCAACACAAGCGAATTTAACAACGCAAAGGAGTCAAGAAAGGCCAGCAATTCTTCCCACTTTTAGGGCCAACTCGTGGTTCAGACAAATGCTAGGCGCCTGTTGTAATTAGAGTCCTACGTTAGGGTCCTCCAGTCTGAACCCTTGATTTCCCAGAGAGTTCCCCTGCCCAGCTGCGCTGTCCCGGACCTTGGATTCCGCCAGCGGGAATCCAGCACACAGCAGGATGTCCCACAGGTTCTGCCGCTCGCAAAACCCGGAGCGAACGCAACTCCGCTAAGCTAGTGAGAGTCTCTAGCAGGCTCATCACCTGATCTTAATTCTCCAGCTTCTTCAAACCTACCGCCACACGCAGCTCCACCTACTCCCCCAGCTGTCCCATTGGTCTCCAGTGATAAGCCTAGCCCCGCGGGTTCTAAGCTCCGCCTCCACACTAGGAAACTGAAAGCGGAAGCGAGTCTGCTCTGGAATTGGTGTATGGAAAGGTTTTGTTTGGCTATTTATGAACGTTTTCTATTTAATCTCTCTGAAACAACACGTCAGTTAAAGAGCCGATTAAAGAACTGACGCCTTCCTTGTAACAGAATTAACCAAGTTTATAAGTGTCATCAGTGCTTGCAACCCCATATTTTTGTTTCCTCCTGGAGAATATACTTAAAGAGTTAACGAGACCGATCTGGAAAAGCTACATACTATATGACTACAACTGTATTCCATTCTGGACCCCTGGTGCGGCGCTTTATAGTAAGCACTGGACTGCTAACCTCAAGACCGGCAGTTCAAATCCACCAATCACTCCTCAGAACCCCTATACAGGCTTGCAAGAGATCCGATGGCACTCAACAACAAATAAGAAGTTCTGGGAAAGGCAAAACTATAGAGACAATAAAAAAATAAAATAATGGTTTCCAAGGGATCAAAGGAAAGGAGACATGAATAGGTGAAGCACAGGTAATTTTAAGGGCAGTGAGACTATTCTGTATGATGCTGTAATGGTGGATATTGTGCACTTGTCAAAATCCACAGAGTGAATTCTCATGTAAACTATGTATCAATACTGGTTTATCAAGTGTAACAAATATACCACAAAAATGCAAGGTAAGAGAAATTACGTGTGTTGGGGTGTGGAACTATATAGGAATTCTGTATTTTCTGTACAGTTTTTCTAAACCTAAATTATTCTTAAAAATAAAGAGTATTA